AAAGAGGCCAAAGGCACGGTGGAACGTGGACAAGTGCCTGGATTTCCTGCTGAGAGGGGACCAAAGCAAAACACGCGACAGTAGCTTCTTGATTGCTCCGACGTTACCTTGGACAACAGAGCCCTTTACAGAGGAACAGAAACAAGAGAGTCTCATGAGAAAGGAGGAAGCGCTCAGGCGCGATGGGGTGGTGGAGTCCGACGACGGGCTGTCTGAGAGTGATAGAACCGTCACCCCAGGAGCTCCAGGTCCACTCGCAGACGACAGAGTTCTGGAGGACAACGGGCCGGCGACGCCCAAACTCACTCGCCCGATGCGGCTACCCGTCACGCCTTGCCAGGGGCTCGCAGGAGAAGACGCACTACCTTCCGCGACCTGCACACCCGTTTTTGGCGACGGGGCTCCGGTTCGAGCCGTCAAGCAAGTGACAGCTCAGCCGGCATCTTACGATTTCAGCGTCATCTGGGATTGGCACGACCCAGCGGGAGTGAACGGCTCTGGGATTCGCTGGAGCACCCTTCCACCGCCTCGAGCACCCACGAGCGAATTCTCCAAACCGCGTCCGAAGCCTGGGCTACACCTCGGACTTACCGACTTGAACTGGCGTTTCAATCCGTACCCACAGACCAAGGCAGAAATGTTTTCGCCATCACGGCAGTTGACCAAGAATATGACAAACATGATTCAGAACGTCGAGGGTGAGGACTCCGAGGCAGAGACGGAGATATTGGACGGAAACGAAGAACCTGAGGCATTATCCGACACCCGTGACGACAACGATTCAGAGGCAGAGACCGAGAGGAATGTTGAAGACAGAGGACCTGAAGCACCACATTTGAGCCGCAGAGTGGCCCGAACGAATGCGCCGACCAACAACGATCACGAGAACGCGGCACCGGACGACTACATGCCCAGATTCCTTCAGGAGCTGGCTCGAAACAGGAAGCGCAGAGCCTTGGTTTCGACACAGGCCAACAAGAGAAATAGAAACGGACTCTACATTTCCTTTTCCAAGGAAGTCAGCTTGGGCAATGGCCGTCGGGCAAGGGTGATCCGCTGAGTGCAGACCTGGGCATTTTTTGCACAACGATTTATGGCATTACGTAGAGGGCACAATGTAGGCGTTCATCACACATTGCTATTCGTGTAAATGGTATAATATCTATCGTGGTTTGGAGATTGGAGCATGCGATGTGTTATTTATTGGCACTTGGTTACCATTACCATCTTCCTGGCAGGATTCTGTCGTGCTTTTTGCTCTGCCATTTTGGCCTCGGTAGACTTGGACTTGGCTCCCCCGCAGCGCAGGCCAATGACGCCTGTGCACATAACTTGTTCAGGACAAACGGGGCGTAATCAGGCCATGCTGCCGCTGCTGCCGATCGGCAACCCCTTTCTTCGAGAGATAAGTAGTATATTATTTGAAGAAATACAAGGAGATGACGATGAATAACATTATCCTTCGGAAATAAGAGTCCCAATTGACAAACATAAAGGAGAACGGGCAGCATGATAACACAAGGTTGTCTGCCCATATATAGAGCCAGCTCATGGAGCAGCTATGGAATGGATGGGCGCTTGGAAGCACCACCAGTGAGAAGTCCCGCGGGGTTCGTAAAGTCCATCATGCGGCGGTTCTTGCTATCCTGTCCGGGTCCTCGGGTGGCGATCTCGGCCTTTGCACCTAGAAGCAACGAGCTCACGTCGAGCTCAAGAGCCTTCACCCCGCCGAAGAGCCGCATCACCTGCTCGATGTCGTCCTTATTGGCGGCTCTGGCGGGGGTGATCTTCTCGATATCGCTAATCAGGTTGTTGATGGCATCCATGTCGTCATACACCAGGGTCTTGTAGTCGTTGATCCGCTCGCGAGCGCCAGATAGGAAGGCGCGAACCCCGTCAACGGCGCGGTTGGCAGCCGGCGCGCTGTCGAGATTGGCTACGCGACCGAAGACTTCCTCGAGGATGCGGACGAAGACGGAGTACTTATCGCGCCCGAGCTCCTCGATCATGGCGTGCGTATTGGCGAGACTGTAGCCCCGCAGCGCGGCGTTGTCCTTGGCCTGTTGGTCGTTGATAGCCCTCTGAGCATCCAGCTCGTCCTGGCGCAGGGCTGCGAGGCGGCGCTCCTTGACCGCTTCGGCCTCCAGCTCCTTCGCACGGTCGTGCAGCCTCTGGATGGTGACCTCCTGGTCGCGAATGGCCTGCGAGAGACCGCTGCCGCGGGTCTTCATCGACTTGATCCGGCGCTGCAGGCTCTCGGTGAGCTCCTTGTGGTGGGCGGCGTCGCGCTCAGCCGCCGCCAGGGCCACCTGGAAGTCCTTCTGGCGTTTCTGTTCGGCGCTGATGTCACTCTCGAGTTTGTCATGGTGCATCTGCTCTGCCAGCACCATCGCCTCCTGTTCTTTGATCTTGTTCCCGAGGCGCGCGATCTCCTTGCGCATCAGCTCCTCGGCGGCGGCGGTCGCTTGAGCCGTCTCCTTGGCCACCTGCTTGGCCTTGGCCTGAGTCTTTCTATGCTTCGCGCTGGCGCTGGCGCGGGCCTTTTTGTTCTTGTCCAAGTCGTTCAACAGCTGTTTGTTGAGCGAGTCGCGGGCCTCGACCAGGCTGGCCGACGTCTGCTTGATGGCTTTGATCTCCTTGCCGCTCTTGAGGAGTTTGTACTCGAGGGTCTTTTGGCGGTGCTCGGCGACGCTCACGTTGGCCCGGGCCGTGGCGAGCTGCTTGGTGAGCGCGTCCTGCTTCGACTCGTCATCCTTCGTCCTCTCGTCGACGAAGCGCTGGAGATTGGCCAAATTGTCCCGAAGCTCGCGTGACTCTGAGCTCGCTGAGTTGAGTTGGGTTTGGAAGAAGCCCTCCATGTTCTGGAATGCGGCGTGGGACGCGGCCCTGCCCTCGGCCGAATGGCTCTCGATAAAGGCGATGTGTCCGTGCATGCCGTGGATGTATCGATCGCGGCCGACCACCTCCTCCCACGCGTGCTCCGCCTGGACGAAGGCGTTGTAGGACTGCGCCTGCAGGTCCATCACTTGGTCTTGCAGCATGCTAATCTCCATCTGGAGGCCCTCGTTGTGCCGATGGACGGCATCGGTGTCCCATCGTCCCTCGACGAGCTCTTGTCGGAGTGTCCCGTTCTGTTGATCGATGGTCGCCGCGCTGCTCTTGCCCTCATCGATGCGTTGCTGAAGCGTCTCGTGCTCGCGTCGGGCGGCATTGAGCTCGCTCTGCAGCCCGGCAACCTTTTCCTGAAGCCCTTCTTTCTCTTTCTTTTCGACTTCAAGGCTATCTGTGAGGAACTCGACTTGCCTGTTGATACCGGCAATGATCTCTTCGGGCTTTAACGCTTTCATCGACATGGCTGGACTAGGGGAGGTGAGAGTTAGGGCGGCGGTGGGAGTCAAGATACCGTGTACGACTCAACGGCGGTGGAGGTATTGGAGGAGGAGGGACGCCTCTAGCGTAGAAAAATAGTGGCGGCGTCGGAGGTATGAGCAAAGTAGGTGTTGATTTCCCGAAGCTTATGGTACACTGGTGAAGCGTAGAGGTGGTAGGTAGGCGAAGGGAGCATCGGATTTGTCTACTTTGTAGGTGCAAGGTCCAACTTCTTATGGCGGGAAGTCCTGCCCGTAAAAAAAAAAAGGAGTCCATCCCGATTCCTGAAAAAAGGCGTCCAAAGTGGCTCTCGCATGAATGGGTGCATGCTGTGAGTGGGCGGTTGCACGTCATCCAGGGATAAGTAAGGCGCGTGGGTTAGGCATCCACGACTGGTACGCGCATTAGCGTGTTTTCGCTGTGTGTTATTTTTGGTGGAACGGGTCTGCGCATGGGTCCACCTAAACTGCACCTGTCTGGGTGCTACGCCTGTCAAGTCACGCAGTGTTCTAGCTGACCCACAAGCTAGTCGTCAAATTCCAGCCGTCCCTTATGCAAGTGCGCTCACCGCTTTTCCAGGGCTGTCCATGTACAAAGGTGGATCACCGAACCCGTGTCTTGGCATCCCATCGGACGTCAGCTGCGCCAGCTGCGGCTGAGCGACGCCTTGTGTGTTGGTCGGGCTGTTACTCACTAGGTAACTATGTCCTGCCCCTGCTCGGCCCCGACCTTCATCTTCTCGGTCACTGTGTGAATACACCCCGTGCGCTCATGTGCAAAGATGACCGCTCTTGTCGCACCCGTCGGACTCTTCTCCCTCTGAGCCCTTGTGAGGACGTTGCTAAGCTAGTCGCTCTCTCTCACGGCGGCTGAAGGGTAGGTCTCCTTGCACGCGACATTAGGGGCGACTGCGCTGGGTCCGACCGTTTCGATGGGACCGACGACGTTCCCGAGGCGTGTGCAATAGCGCAATCTTCAGTTGATCACGGATGAGGCATGATGGTTCCGGAATCTGAATATGTGATTAGCGAGGCGTGGTGCGTCTGGACTCTCTCTTTGGTAATAATTCCTAATACGGAAGCTGAGGTCCTCAAAAGGGAAGTCGGTGTCTTTTTCGTCTCCCACCAAAAACGAAGGTTGCCTTTTTTCTCGGCATACGGGACATCGTCATGTGTTGGCCTTGGATCACGACGCACCTAGGCTTGAACTCCATCAGGGTCCTGAGACCATGGTCCCTGACGTAAGTGGAACAACTTGATTTGTTAGGTAAGGAAATCTATCTAGCACACCTGCGGAATTGTTGTGTAACGCAAGGGAAATTATTCGGCTGACCTTCCCGATAGGGTTAGGGCAACATCCTGCGCTTGGACGCTGTGTGCTGATTTTCCCTTGCCGTGTTTGACTCCTATCAATCACTCGATCACTTGGACACGGGGCTCATTGCAGCACTGCTCTAGGAAAGTCACGGCTTTTACCTCAGATGACTTTGAAGCTATGCTAACGATCAATCAAGACACGGCGTAGCAGCCCGATCGACAGAGAATAGTCATTGAGTGTATCGACAAGAAAATTCATCGAGAGGTATCCCAGGCCAACGATCAGGCCAAAAGCGCAATTGTCACCCCCCCCAGATGTCAGGCTTCAATGACACCACGACGTCAGGTCCCGGAGAACAACTCGAGCTCATGAAAAGACCTCAGGTTCTTCCTGGTCAGGGCTATGCGTGCGATGCGTGCAGGAGAAGAAAGACGAAGTGTGATAAGACAAAGAATTGCAGCAATTGCATAAGGCTGAAGTTAGTGTGCACCTTTGGTCATGTCAGGACTTCGAGAAAGCACAGGAAGCACCTCAAGTCGGCAGATGACTTCCAAGCGATGACTTTGAACTTCTGGGCGATGGAGGCGGACGAGTCCGTGGGTTCCCCGACCACGAACTCCAACGGCGTTAAGATCGATAAGGGAACGACACCAGTCGAGGTATCAGGAAACTCAGCCCCTGGCTGGATGCCACCCACTAACACCCTCATTACCGTACCAGCCAACTATACCAACGTGGTCGGCCCCAACTATTCTCAATACCATGACCAGAGGCGTGTCTACGAGTGCGGCCCTGACGCAAACGGCACCCTGGCGACAAGCTTCAACAGAGAACCGTACGCCCGCGATCCATCCTCAGTGCCATACCCGGTGAACACGCATCCAGCTCCTCCTCCTTTGGACGTCGCAGCAGGACAAGGCAGCTACGTCGTCACGGACGCCAGAGAGGCTCCCTACGATGAACAGAAATCGGCCTACGGTTACAACCCTGGACCGAGTGTTACCGCCCCGATTAGCTCCAGCACAGCGCCGTACAGTCCTGGGACCCCAGAGTCATTGCCGACGGAACAACATCCTCAGTGTCGCGCCTGTGGAGGTTTCGTCAACTCAGGCCTAGCTTCCGGCATTGAATCATCAGCCTTCGCTTTGTTACAAGCCTACGTCATGTCCGGGATTACTGTGCCTCGCGACTACCTGCCTCACCTCCAGAAACTCGCCCTGACGAATCCCCAAGGCTATCTCGCAGCTCTGTCTTGTTATATACAGTCTGGATACGGCCGAGCCATTTCATTGCAGCACTCGATGACAAGGAACAGGCCCGTTGGAGGTTGGAGTGCTCCATACGACCAAGTGTCAGACGCGTACACAGTAAGGAGGGACGCGGTAGCCGGGAGCCACCCGCAATTCGCAGCATCGGCAGAGTCCAAATTGGTTACAGGTTAACCCTCTGCGTCATCTACGATGTACAGGAGCGCAGTACATGTATTCAGTGGTTTGTGAAGGATTTTACGTCGTTCCTAGCATGCAATTTTCTTTTGTCCTTTTTTGTCTGAATTCTTGTAATTTTTAATGCCGTTTTTCTCTTCGTCCTTGTATTTACATGATGGATGCGTAATTGAGCGCTCGAGTTTTATTGCATGATGCGATACAGGCACGGGTTGTGCGGGTCGGCTCGTTGTCGACAACGGCAAACCGGAGGAAAGCGCACAGGGGCTTCTTAGCAGGCCTGGTTTGAAGAAAAAAAAAAAAAAAAAAGGCGGTGTGCGTCGTCTGTCAATCACAGAACTAGCCTGTGCCAGGTGGGGCTAGCCCAGGGGTCAGACGTGGGAAAAAGCAAATGTTGTCAGGTGTGGGACAAAAGGTTCTGCACAGGAGGGGTCAGGCGTCCAAGTTAGGCGTAAATTCGCTTACGTATGATTAATTACCAGCGTCTTCCCGTGCTCATCCCAGCCACTCCCAAAGCTGGTTTCCCACCCATTGTGTTTTTGTCTCTCTCACTTTCCGATTGTCTCTTCCATAACAAACTGCTGCTCGCTTATCCATTGTGTTCTTCTTGTCACTTGAAGCGTGCCCATGTTTAATTATGGCGATGACCACTATGCCGGGCCATTGTTCGCACCAGTGAATCATCAATTTGCAGGACAAATTGAACCTCCAGGTGAGTCATGTTGGCCTGTGAACCTTGCCGCAGAAGACCGTACCATCATCTAACCAGCTGATTGTGACTGAACTCAAGGTGAAATGCGATATTTCGATTTCCAGAGCCAGCCGTATGACGTACCGCCCGAGCCCGAGATATATAAAAGGCCCCGGAGGAGATGCAATGAGTGTAGACGGAACATAGTGAGGTGTGACGGAAGAAAACTTTGTGGATTTTGCAGGACGCGCAACTTGGACTGCAGCAACGGGGATCGGTCCGGGAGAACAAGCATCGCGTGCAAAGCGTGTCGGCGGAGAAAGTCAAAGTGCGATGGACAAAGGCCATGTCAAGCTTGCCAGGCACGCAAATCGCCGTGCAACTACCTTGGCAAACTTCGCCGCTCGCAGGCTTGGAAAGAAAAGTTGGGCGCGTTGGGGGATGTGATGATTTCGATTGTACACACGTCGGTGCCCAAGAGTCCCTCCTCACACCACTTCTCCTTGCCTGTTGTGGAGTGGCCCGCGAACTACGACGACCCCTTCCTCAAAGATATTTTCGACCACCCCGGTGACTATGGCGCTCTTCAACTCGTGCCCCTCATCAAGCTGTTGGAATCATATCGCTTGATCGACGACGCACTGGAGCATACTCGTGAGCAGGCGGTGAACGCTGTCGTGTGCAAGATTCAGGCGGCGGTGTTGGAATCATTAGCACAACCCCCCAACAATGATGGCGACGGCGACTCCGTCGTGGCGACAACCGAAGACATTCCTGACAGCGGGATCTCTGAACAGGTACCTGTCGATGGATTCTCTGAACGGCAGCCTGTCGATGAACCCGGCGCTGACGCAAATACAACCGTGCCGACTTACCCAACAACCACTGCGCCGCCTTTGCCGCCGTGTCCACCCACCACGAGCGCGTATCAAGCCCATCCTCCTGTTGATGTCGCACAGCCCATATCGAACTGGAATCACTGCTGGTTTGGACCGATTCAGGAGAATATCAAAGTCTGGAATAATTACCACGGCACCGCAGCACCAGCGCCATCAACCCCAGTCACCATTGCCACCACCAGCCCATCACAGGATGCCGCTCTTCTTGGAACACCCCAGCAGATCGGGACGTCTCAGCTGATCGGCGCGCATGCGCAGGCAATCGCCCATCAGCAGCAATACGACCTTCAACAGCGATATTTCCAGCAGTTCGCGGCCACAACACCCTCTTACTTCTTGTCCAATCAACCCTTGTCCAACTTTGTTGATCCTAACCTCACACCAGCAGGATTCTGGAACAGCGAGACTTCGACAGCGTTCCCTCAAGGTGTTCCCCAAGATGGGCCCGGATTCCCAGGAGGCGACTTTTCTCGGCAATCGTTCGTTCCCGTCGTCGGTTTCGAAAATGGGAGGCCGCATCCTTGATGCACTCGTCCAGGATCCACCACGGTCCACCACTGTCATTCTTGTCTCTTTCCTTCGTCTCCTGTCAAGGTGTCAGCTTGTGTGCATAGCCAATACCATGGATTGTCCACGATAGCTTGTCTTGTACATGTCCGATACAGATTATTATACATGTCCATCAATACACTCTTGTACATGTCCGCCATACATGGGTTGCTGTACATGTCTGTCCATATCTGCCCTTATGGAACTTCTCAATGCAACGTGCGGCATTCTCCACCCGTGCGGGTGGACTGTAGGATACGGTGACCTTTCGTCCGGCAAAGCGTTCGGCGTCTCGTGTGTGTCGGAGTTCGGGGAAGATCAAACGAATGGGCCCTGGTCATGCAGGGAACGGGAACCTGCTGCACCCAGCTCGCGGTCACTTGAGTGATGGGTTTTCCCTTCTTCTCTCTCTGGATCCGGGGTTGGACAGCCCCACGACGCACAGCCGAGCCGCATATTGTGCGCTGAGAGCGGCTGCGAGCCGGTGCGGCGGACTGACATTGAGCCTGCACGCATGTATGTGCACAGCCTCGTTACTGGATCCCAAGAAGCTCAGGCAGCGCGCCTCGGAGGCGCTGTACAATTGTCGGATGGGACACATTGTCCTCCCGTCGTAGAGGGGGTTATACATAGCAAGTTGGCAGTGTGTGATCATCAACCGAATTCAATCGTCCATCTTCCATGCTAAACCACGTGCTCTCAAAGAGCATTCGAAACACTCCCGTCGTAACGCCCTCCATCCACGACCCCGTTATTTCGCAGTGCATTCTCGCGGGTTTCGCTAGTCTTGTCGAGCTCTGACATTTTTTCCCGAAATCAATCTTTCCAAGCTTGCAGGAGCGCAAGGCGAGCAAGCATCCAACCACTTCGTCAGGTGTGTTTGCTGCTCCCTCGTGAACGTCATTGAAACCTCCCACAGACTCCAGAACACGGGTGCCGACAAACAAATTCAGCCAGTGGGATCTCTCATCGCTGACGCACGAGATCATTATTTTTGCGGAAACATGTCTCGACCAGAGTCGCCAACTAACTCCCTGTCCATGCTTGTATTTAGCCTGCCGACCATGTCCTCCGGAAGCACCGCCCTTGCCGATTTAGACGACAGAGTGCCCTTGGACTGTTGACAACGACCGACAACTTTCGACGACGAGGCAGGACCTTGTGCAATGTTTTGGTCCTTGTCAGCCCACCCAAGCGCGAGCAACGCGAGCTTTTCGTTGTGGCAGCCTGCCAAGTCTGCCTTGGGCTGCCCAGTTGGGGGGGGGGGGGGGGGGGAGATCGTGCTGCAAGGGG